CATAGTAGATCGCGTAGTGTCTCATCACTTGAGATGTCCGATGGTTACATTCCCGCTAGGATCTCATCCCATGTGTGGAAGAAAAGTGATAGGTTTCTGTCTCCCTGATATTCAAAGTGATACAAAAGTAAACCTCAACGTTGGATGTCGTCTTGAAGTTGAGAAGGATCAATGCTAAGATTGTCCCTGCCCTTGATCAAGGTGGAGGTTCTTCCCCTGGCATTGATATGGGCCCTCAATGTCATAATAGCAACATTGTTTCCCTCTTCCTTGGAGTCGGAGACGACCTTGGTCAGTGCTAGGCCCAACTTCGCATCGATAGAGTGGAACCTTAGATCACCAGAATCCAAAAGCCTGTCAGGGTCTGGATCGTCGACCGCTTCCCTGATCCAATCGATCCATGGTTGTTGATCTGAATCGTTTGCAGCGATGACAATTGCCTGAATCAAGTTTGCCTTCCACAATCCGAGGTCATTGACTTTGGGCCATGGTGGCGCTTTGATCTTGGATTCTTCCTTTTCTGATGGTTTGTACCTGAGTTCTGCGTTCATGTTTTCATACTCCTGTGCTTCCTTGGGTTCCTCACCATAGCTATCGAAGGCCTCAGTGTACCAATCATACACTTCATCACGTTCCTTCCTCAACCTATGTACTCCACTCTCTTGGTGTTTAATGTCTTCCTTCAGGCGCGAGTGATCCTCTTCCTTGGATCGAGAGGTTAGTAGCCCTCGTCCGTCTCGACTGTCGTCTCTTGTTGGACCATGACGCATTTCAGCCTTCATCTTTGCATTCTCGGACCTCACTTCCAAGAGTTTCTTTTCGGCGTGCTTCTTTTCGGCGTGGCGTAGGTTCTCTTCAAGTTCCTGGAGTTTCTCCTCAAGTACCGCTTTCTCTCTACCATTGACTGCAGAAACCTTTAGGAGACTTTCCCTCTTCAAGATCTTGTTGGCCTCGGCAAGGGCGAGATTGGCTTCTTTCAGCTGCTGTTGTTCTTCCTTCGATTGTTTTTGTAGTCCAGTCGCAGCTTCTTCCAACGTCTTTGACGCTTCGGACATCACCCTTGCCTCGTACTGAAAATGTTTTGCTCTTGTCTCCTTCTCATTGATCTCTAGTTTGTATCCGTGATTTTCAGTCTTCTGCTCCAAGTCACAATAATTCATCTCTGCGATCGTACTCATCTCCGATCCTCTGAAGGCGGCCAGTTGCCCACGAAGATGTTCAACCATCCTCTGTTCTTGGTGCTGATGACCAGTAGTCTCGGCAACCTTGTCAGCCAACTGCGTCTATTGTACCTCACTACACCTCCAACATGTTGCTGTTCTCGTCTTGTAGCGTCAGCATTCTCGTTTGAAGATCATGATTGGCGACGTTCATAATCGCTTGATTTTCCTCACTCAGATTCTGAGCTCGTCTGTTGTATGCATCAAAGGTTTGATTCTGCTCTTGGATGTAGCGAAAAGCACCTTGCATTTCACTGGTCATATCCTCCATTTGGGATCTTACTTCATCAAGTTGGGAATGTTCTTCGTGACTCTCTTGAGCAAGTTCTTCGTACTTCATGTAGATATGATCTGCTAATGATTCAGCAAGTCGGAGTTTCCGCGAATTCCTCAATGCGTATGGTTGCTCCTTCATCTTCTTGCATCATTTCTTATAGGTGTGTGTGCATCGTCATATTGCATTTCGTCAATTGCGCATTCTTCTTGTGATTCAGCATAGAGTCTTGCGTATCCATCGTGTAGACAACTGGATTCATCATTCAAAACTATTGCTATGATACTCTAGCTGATCGAAGTTCTTCCACGACTCGCATTTCTCTTTCTTCGAAGTCTTTGGCATCCACTCTTTCAACATCTCTCTTTGGCGATCTTCTTGTTGTTCTCGGTGATGTAGATCTTGCAAACCTTTTCATCACTCTCTTCGTGTTGCCCATCCTTACATCGGATCCAGCAGATGTCGTCTCCGGGCGAGCGACTCTGCCTTCACCTGACACTTATGATCCTGTTGGCATGGTCATTATTGTAGCATCTGCTGAGCTCGCTCCAGTCAATGATCCCGGCGATGACTGAGATGCGGCTCCTCCTGGCGCAGCAAAGGAGAACTGTTCGCTGCTCTTTCCTCCGGAGTTCGACATTGCAGGTCTAGTGTCGACAATTGTAGTTGCGGTCTCTCACAAGCTCGTAACCTCAGAGCGGCTACGGCTGATAACCTGCACGTGGATATTAATCACTCCAACGGGCAGTGTAGAATGACTATCCTTGTTCCCATGTACGAAAGCAGCTGCGCGCTTCTTTTCTGCTCTCTACGGGAGTCTTGAGCCAAAGCGTTAGTGGTTCACGCTGTATTGAACTGTACATATGTACTGTATGCCTATCGCTGCATTGCTGTTGAAATGTAATTTAAGGTTGGTTTCCAAAATGCCTGTTCCCAAAATGGTGCACTCACCGTAATTCCATGGGGGCCTGCTTCTAAATCTCCTATATGTTTGAGATTGTTTGAGCCATGCTGTGGTAAAAGCACGTGTATTTTACATAAACAAGGTCAGAACCTTAAGAAACTCAGCTAGCGCGGAGGCTGGCACTGCTGCTGTTGCTGCCGCTGCTGGATCCTAGCAGTTGTTTGACTCTTGCTGCTAGTGGGTTGCGACGACATTTCGCATCACCCCGCAAGTCTACAAGTCGACCCAGACCTTCGGCAAGCATGAAAAACAAATGTTCGCCATGCATCAAAAATTTGTGGGCCGTGTGCCACTGATTTCGAAGTGCACCGTTGTCTAGTGCGGAGCTAGCGCGCGGCCAGTGCAAAAACTTGCTGGTACTTGAGCGATTGAGTGAGTGTGAGTGTGAGAGAGAGTGAGTGAGTGAGGTTGAGTGAGTGCGTGGGTGAGTGAGTGCGTGAGTGGCTAGGGAAGGAGGGAAGGGAGGGAGGGAAGGAGGGAGGGCTTGAGGGAAGAGAATCCAAAATCATTTGGCAACACACAAACACACCTACCAACAAATCGTAATCATATCAGTCATAGAGAACCTAGCGCTGACCTAGCACCAACCTAGCGCTGGAATCAACGTTGTCTGCTGGGGGCCCGCTTCTAAACGAAGACTTATATCACATCTCCGACCGTAACAATTACTATTTTTTCAAGTAGGGCTTTTTGAGCGCAGTCTATATACTTTTCTGCCAAACTGGCTTATGCTGCTGCTGCTCGCTGCTCTTTCCATGGCTTTTGTAATTGTCTGGTTTCAATGCAAGAGGGACCCATTGGCCATCTTATTGACATCACCAATCGAAAACAATCCATTTGGCGGAGCACACTGCTGGTTTAGTGTGGTTCGGGAAAATGCCAACACGTCCTTCAAAAAGCATCCATTTCAGACCTGCAAAGCATCGTTGATTTCGTCCTCAAGCATTGTTCCAACCTTGGCGCGAAGTGGCTCCAAGCCGCGAGGATGCCCCAAAGGCGTTTGGCGATTTGGATTTTTTTACGGTTATTTATTGCCAAGGCAGCCCGGCCTTTTCCACCTCCTCCAAAGTCCTGTCCACAGAAGCCTCAGTTCAACCGCTTGTGAATCACCAGTGAATCATGGCAGGTGATACAGTGCATGCCCAGAACACCGACAGCACATCACAAAGGCGTTGCTTTCACAGGCGCTACATTGCTACATGTTGCTTCCACATTCTTTACATCTTTCATGTTCGCTGGCAAAGAACAGCAGTATTCCTAACACTGAAAATCCCGAAAGGATCCTGAGATCCCTCAAAACTGGCATATCGTAGGGTTCAACAACCCTACACGTAGGGATTCCCGAGCCCTCCCTACCATCATCTACCGTCACTTCTGATTCAACCCGGTCGCTCATACACTAAATGCAGCTGCAGCCTTGCATAACTTCGAAAAGTTCAAGAGGAAGTCTGTCATGTCTGGAGGCCTCCAGGCTTGAGCTACAGGATGGGGGATCGACCAACCAGACTTGGCTCCGCACATCTCTTGGGGCCTTCTGGGGTTCCCAATTACAAGGTACACGCGAGAATAATTCGGAAAATGGAAGTGCCATCGTAAGACTTACCATGAAAATACTGTCCAGCACGATAGCATAAAGACCCTGCCTGTCGACTTGGTGCGGGTGCATTTGGTGAGGGCAGCGTATGCCCCCTAGCTCAGAAATGGAATGGTTTTGAGCTAATCTTTTCCTTCAGTCCTTCAGTTCTGATTGCGGAACATCAGCAGATGCTTACTGTATATGGATGGTGAATAGTTCACGGTCTTGAAACGGGGAGCATAGGTACAGGCTTCGAGACAAACCGGTCTGCAATCCTTTCATACTTGAGCTTTGACCGAACACAAGTGCATCAACTTCACTAGCCACGTCCATCCCAACCTGGCCTTCCCAGCCTCCGGCAAAGCTGGGAATGGGAAGCAAACAGCTGCAAAGAAGTAAGCCATGTATCCAAAGACCAGTGATTTGCGAGTGAGCTCTTTCAGCCCCCAACCACGTATCCTCTTGCTGAAGCCTAGTCTCCCTTTATATTTACAACAAGTTACTACTTACGAGTCCTTTTGCAAGCACTGCTAGCAGTCCAAAGAACAGGCACTTGTGGGTCAAACAACCCCGCCGGCGCCCTGTAGTCCATCCCCCAAAACCATTTGAACACACATGCCTGGAGTTGAGAGGATTAGGAATGTACAGCACTTTTCCCATTCCAGATTTGAATGAGAAGACTGCTCCCGCTGCAGGTGACAGTCAAGCAAACTCATCAGCAAGCTATGAGCTTCCACGACGAGAGATTGCAACGGCAACTTAACAATGCAAAGAAGGTTGATGCTCCACTAAGGCTTGATACTACTTGATGACCCACTGTGACTCACAGTCATCTTTTTGATTCCCTGAGATACGAGTAGTACACTCTTTCAGGCCTGCTGGTGATCCGCCTCATTTTGAAGACAACCCATGAGCAGTTCAGAGTATTGCAAGACTGCCACCTTGCATTTGTTTAGGGCCAGGTCCTTATGTCATTTTTTTCCGCTTTTGAGGGCTCTGCCCTCCGCTTTGCCGTCTCTTCACTCGAGCCTTGGCTGCATGTTGAAGGACCTTCGCCATGGCAAGTCAGGCTTACTAAAGGAAAACATATAACCTGGCCTGATCCAAGTCATCCATGTCCTCTTTCCAACCCAGCGGGTTCACTTGCCAATAGGTCTCTGTCATGATGGCAGCCGCAATCTTTCGAGCCGGGTCAAGCCAGAAATAACTCATGCCTGGCATCGGAGTCTCTACGCCATCTGCAAGGTCGACTTCAGATTGCGCCTCCCATGTAGAGAGCGCCAGCGTGAGGACCATACCGTTCAATGTTGCCCAATGGTGACCACCCGACCTGAGTTAATTGGTTAACAAGTTGCCTGCATAGTTACCATTTTAAAAGAAGTTAGTTGCTGTAAATAGTTTCTGTAAATTGTCTTATTGCTGGGGGGGGACAGGTTAAGGACGCGGATCTCACTATATAAACAAAACCGCCAATGAAGGACTGAGAGTCATCTGGACTGCCCCAACCTGGCGGATCTCGAATCTTGGAAGCTCGCTTCAAACGTAGCCAGTCTGTCTGCAATGAGCGAACTGTAGATTCTTTGAGAACACGGCGTCCAGACACAGATCGTCCACCTAGAGCAATTTCAAGTCTAAGAGCCCTATCTCAGCTACCAAACAGCCTGGCTTACTCATGTTCAATATGCGCCAAGCGTTTTCCAAGCTACTATTCAATAGCATCTGGCAATACAGCAGAATATCTCTGAGCGAGAAAAGCATAGTCGAGCGCCCAGCGCCCCACAAACCTCCGCCAGCAGGCACGCCGGTTGGCACTCCAAGGGAGCGATAAACAGCGCGTGACCCTTTTGCGTACCTTGGCATCAAATAACCCTTCACAGCTGGCCCAGGTGTGCAAATTTCGCAAAGTGAGGCGCTACTAGGTAGTTGCATGCTTTCTTTTTGCAAATGATTGCTCTTTTCTTTGTGCAAGGTAAAGAATGACAAACCTTTGCGAAGGGGCAAAAAGGAGTGGGATGGATGCTTCAATCATCTTCAATCACCGTTATAGTTATGAAATATTATGAATGCTAGACTGCCCTAGATCTGTTTGCACAAAGAGCCGGGTTTGGAACAGCACACCAACTTTGCACAGGAAATAAACGATGCGAAAGACTGTTGTGCTTCTCCCCTCGAGAGCCTACCGAGGCAAACCAGGCTGGTGGTGTGACGGTGGTGCCTCGTCCATGAAACAATAATTGCAAGAACATGTGTGGAACACATCGTTTCATTTTTGATAGCCCACGGCTGAAGGAAGGTGGCAAACATGAGACCCCTTGCATGCTGCATATATCTCTTAGCAAATGCAACACCTCTCGCTTCCCACTGTTCCCTAAAGGTACACCTTGCTGGGATGTTGTGCATTGTCAGTGAACATGTAGCTCAAGCATGCGGGCACGGACGCAGAATTGGTATCAATCTTGATCTGTGCAACCACGCTGCATACTGTCTCTTGCTTTCGATCCATCCAACCGCTGCAGCCATCGCTTGCCTTTTACCTTAGCCGAAGCGAAACCGACATGGTTTCTCACGATCAGCTTCTAGAGCTGAAGATGCTGAAAGGCTTGGTGGTAGACATTGTGTGCCTGTGAGAAACTCCGCCGACCCGTGTGCAAAGCGGGAATGCCCGGAGACGAACATGTGTTGCATGAGGATTTCAATTTGAAGCTTTGGAGGGGTCGCCAGTCTGGGAGGCTTGGGCAGGTCGTCTATCCCACAATTTGTAAGAGCAGCTTTGGAAGGACTTAAAACGAAATTGAGCCCTTGGTTGCGGCCAAATAATTGAGCAGTTTGGAAGTATTTTCATAGCCCGAGGTCTGGCCAAATCTGACCTTTACAGGGTCAGTGCCTTGGCCAGGTTGGCGAGTAACTGCTAGCTGATATGGGGCTTCATTTCTCCAAAGTCCAGGAAGCGCCCTCAGCCTTGGACGTGTTGGCCACTTTGCTTGTTTCGGGTCGGCACTGCCGTGGGCCATCCTCTGTTGGCACCTCGGATGTAAATTCGTAAGGCTACTTGCAGGAGTTCAAAAATTATATAACCTGTCTCCAGGATCTCCAGGTACTGGATCACGCATCAGGCGGTAGTAGGTGGCGAGTTGGTGTAGCTTGGAAGCAGGCACGAGGAAGCAAGAATCTCGCATGCCCACTGGTTCAAGAACCTGCACACATGCATAGGACGCATCTCAATGCCCCAGCCCCCAGTTGTGGCTTTCTAAAACTTTTGGCTCAGCTATTGAGACAGAGCACGCGACTTTGAATGATGCGTCGCAACGGCTTGCCGGTCGCCAGCTGCATGACCTCGGTCGACGCACGAGTAATCACGAGTAACCTTGGTATTCTAGATGAAGCACATGCCTTCCAGTGTTCATTTTGACAGAATTCAGGAAGAGATTGGCTGAGGAACATGGCCGAGAACATCGAGACTCATCCCATAAGCATAATCACTTCCAGGCTGAAAAAGCAGCGGTAGGCCTTTGATGGCATGCCAAGTGAAAACAATTAACATACTAACACCAGTTGCAGCCTATGACATGTCAATTTCTTTGTCGGGACACGTTAGCAATTATTTTGCCAAGCTGTTTTGTGAACATGGTGAAAAAGCATGGGTATATGATATGAGTCCTCTATGTTCCTCTGGTGGATTTGGCAAGAAACTGCAAAGTTCATTGCAAAGCTTCTCCAACGTGTCAATCTCACCTGTAGCAAATGTATCTCCACTTCACTCGGAACACAAGGATGCATTGAAAGCATTTGAAAGCCTGCCTCTCTCCTGCTTTGTGGCTATAGTTTTGTACAGCTTCTCCTGCAGCTTATGCGCCGAAATCCATGTTGTCACAAATCAAACTCAAGCCTTTGCTACACCCGTGCACTAGAAGCCGCCAAAAGGCATCCATCCAAAGTTTGAAAAAGACTGGAATTGTACTGGAGGAGTGGCGCCTAATTTTGCCGCTTACATTTTCTACACTTTCCGCAAGAAGCCGGTCCAGGCGTGGAAAGGTGTGAAATCGCAAGTCGAGGCCAACGGTTCATTCCTTTGTCGATTGAACTCTATGGTACGCAAGGCGCAAGCTCCGAGTTCTGAGCACAAGCCAGCCATGGTAAGCATATGATGCAACGCTTTGAGAAAATCCAGTGATGGACATGCCTCGGCACCGCTGAACTTGACACTGTCTATTTAGTATGCAAATACATTGCTTCATGAAATCTGCGGAGCTTCCATAAACAATCTATCCCTTGGCTCCAAAATCCTGTAGCTAGGCTACCAAGCACCTGGGCTGGCCTTGTTGAACTTAAAGCCTTGAACAGCTTGTGTTTAACTTAAAGGTCTTGGTGTCCAGCAGGCAAACAGTTGAAAAATAAGAGCACGGTGAATAGGAGCTTGAAGGCACGATTGTGTTGGCAGTGGGTGGTTTCGAGGATTGACGCCTCCAAAATTGAGCTTTGGATTTCAGTCTCACAAAAGGTTTCCTAAAACATTGATGAATAGTCAAATATAATCAGCACTTTGTGCAAGCGTGAGATTTCTTTCGCCTGCTACTGCTATATCCGGCGATTATAATGATTATACAATATGCGAAAGCGCCTGTCACGACATCGACTTGAACCTGAGAGCAAAGCAGCAAGCGTGCAGCTTTGGCCACAAAGCCGCAATCTGTGTGACGACTCCGTGCGAGTCAGGCAAAACGAAATACCTCGGCGTGTCTTCTCTCCTTGCACAGGAACCTCTTGCAGTTCAAAGTTTGGGGAACATGTCCACTTACTGTATATAGATTTTACATATATAATCTCTTAGAACATAAACACGCACCATCTGACTATACGTAAGCAAAGCTATATATATATATTGTTATATATATCATGTACACACACAGAAGTATATACTGGCATACACGGGCTAAGCAGTCTTCTTTTCTTGTGTCTGGACAACATGCATGTTGATGGCCTTCTTTTGTGATCCATTTAGCATCATTTCGACAATTACATACTTCTCTCCTCTTTGGACCTCGCCACCAATGGAACCCCAGGGGTAATAGCACCTGGTCCGTAGCCGATGCCAGACGTGTGCATCAGCAAGTGGCGCAAGGTCATAGTCTCACGCATGGGCTCTGTCCCCTTGCCACGCTTCACCTCACAGTCCAACTACACAATTACTTGGCTGAAGGCATGGGAACTGCAAATGACCCCAACGACAAATCCGCTAAGGCAGGTGCTCTTAGCATTTTGAAGGCTGGAATGTACTTCTCAACGGGGTCATCAAGTTTGAACATGCCATCATCCACCAACGACATGAAGGCCGTTGCAGTAATGGGCTTCATCATGGAATACCTGGATACACGGAAACTTTGCCTTTTAACCGTTTGCTGTAACATCTGTAATTAGTTGCATCATTTAGCATGCTTTGCCTCTTTTTGACCATTGTGCGAAAGGATTCACCTCTTCAAGGCCTGAAGAATTGCTCCAATATGTCTCAACAAAAAGGCTCGACACCAAATGGGTGCGCACAGGGTGCACAGGTGCAAAAGCGAAAATTTGCGTTGTCACTTGTCATAGTCATGCATTGCCAGTCTGCGAGACTTGACCCACCCCATTGTGTTAACAATTGGCCACCAACCGCTAGAGTACCAGAGCAAGGAGGGCTGTGATTGTCTGACCATCCCCCTCGAAATTAGCCATGCGACCCTCGAAATAGTGTGCGCTCAGACATTTTGTGCTTCTTGTTCTTGTCAGTAAACCCGCGCAAATTGAGAAAAATAGATTTTCCGTCTGCAATGACACCCTCGGCAAATCCAGGAAAAACGCCACGCTCCTGCCCACAGCCACAAGCTTCGATTTTTTGAAACCACTTCTAGGGCGCCACCCTTGTCTATGTCCTGGTGATCTTTGATTCGCTGCCGGTGTCTCTCCAACGGCTTTGAATCAATGCCTAGAGCTTCTGGAGATGCGGTATGGAAACCAACCGCCGACATTGCTGCGCTCATTGCGCACACCGTCTTGCACAGTCTAGCAACATTTTAGCCTGTCAAATTCAGCTCTTGGGATCCAATTTGAACCTGTTTGCGATATGGTGGGATCAATTAAAGTCTTTGGGAAGCCACTTGAAGAGGAAAAGGGCGAGTCTTTAAAATGCTTTTGACAGTCTTCGGGCAAAGAGCGATGCAAAGAATTCATCAAGAAACAGGCTCAAAGAGTGAAGGTTCTCACGCGTTAAGGCATTGATTGATAGCTATCTTTTCAGGATCCGCCGCAAGCTGTTGCATAGCCGCCGCATTGCCGACTAGGACGCATCATGGCTTGACTGCATCAGCTCAGCTGATGACCAGGCCAACTGGGTAAAATCTGAGATCATTTCTCCAGCACTCAGGATACTGGTTGGGCCTGTCCAAAAGCAGCAAGAGCCCATTTGGTGGGAGTGAAAGCCAAACTGTCTTCCTCCCCATTTCACCACTTCCTTCTAAAAAATGGACAAGCCTCGAACAAACGCGAGAAGTAGAAATTGGTAGCCGTCATCTCCTTGCGGGTGACCTTTAACACCGGAAAGAAAAACACAGCAGTGCAAGTGAGTCCATGGTTTGTTGAATCCCCTTGCAGTAGCCTTGTAGCCAGCTGCTTGCAGTGCAGCCTCCACGTCAACTTCTTCATGCAAGTAGGCACCTGAAGTCAAACGAGCAATGTTACAGTATCGTTTTCTGGATCCCAAAAAAAACTCCAGTAAACCTCGCCCAGGGCACGTGTAGTCTTTGATTTGCCTGGAAACAGCTCGCCAATTCTCTTCAACAGTGTATAGTACCTTCAGGTGGATGTGCGGCTAAAAGACACAACATGACGAATGTAGCATGAACATGCACATTCTTGCCGATAAAAACGACGCAAGATGTCATCTTGGCGTACCAAGTCTTTGGAGCGAATGACAGAATGAGCCTCTCCTTGCTAAGCCTCAATCCCCGCACAGCGGTGAATTCGCTCTGCCGGAGTTCAAAAGGCTTTTAGAAAAAGACTTGGGCAAAAACCCCGCAAGATGTTGCACCATCCCAGACATCTTGTCGGGCGGATAGTGAATAAGAACCTTGTACAGCAAACTTCATGAAATCATGAAATCGAGCGTGGCAACCTATTTCAAAATTGCAAAAAAGGAGCATCCACACAGCAAACTGTGTCGAATTTGCCACTGATGGCCTGAGGCAATGGTATTCATGGGCAATGGTATTCATGGCTTGTGACGCAGTGACACATGGCACTCTCGGCCTCAAGGTCTGAAGTCGAGAACCTGAACATGTGACAGTTTCCGTTGATATCCTGTGGCTCTGTTGGAACCTTTGAAAACTCCTACGGCATGTTCGGTTTTGTGATTGTTTTGGCACCATCCTTGTGTATTCGAGTTACAGTTGCAATCAATCCCCATGCACAATTTGAGAGCTTGCAAAAAATTGGACGACGGATGGCCCGAGAGCGTTTAGATGTAGAGTTACTCTGGTGTCAGGAACGCGTGCATGATGACGACGAAACAACGCAGCAAAGCGAGTGATGAATTGCTGAGAGAGAAAATGAATGAGAGGGTCACTTTTGACCAAACATGTGATGAAAGGGTCAAATGTGTGGATCCAGGCCCTGCCCCAAACACGTCTTATGTCCGTGTGAACATGTGAGCGTTGTTGCAGGAAAGTGTGTGGACTCAGGTTTTGCCCCCAAGATGTCCGCGGCATGTGTGCACGTGAAAATTTGAATGAGATGTTGCGGAAGCTGTAGCCCTCGTAGCTGTATGGCGCAGTGAGAGCACAGAAAACCAGATTGCAAACCATTGCAGCAACTTAAACAAAGACAGCGAGGACAAATTTCAAGTCAACGTTTGCACGTGTTTTATCGTACTTGTGCACACGCTGCGTCTTGTTTGGAGTCTTGTGGAGTTGCAAGAACTGTTGCACAGCTGTTGGCATGCGTGCCCACAACTCAATATGAAGAACTTTGACGCGGGTGCGTCTCAGACACATCCGCTTGACGCGCTCTGGAAGACACGTTCCCTTGCGAAGTCACGTTCGAGCAGCCACAAGGCTTCCAAAACGTAAATGCAACGCTGCCAAGGTCTCAAGGACGATTATTTCTGAAGAAGCGTCTTGATTGCGTCTGCAACTGTATGATTGTAAGCCACAATGAGCCAAGCGCAGAGAATAGCAGCGCTGCGATTGACGCCGCCGAAGCAATGAAATGGGATATGAGATACGCGTTAGTTTGCGGCCCAAAACAGCGGACATTGAGCGCTGCCAGAGTTGATGCTCTTCCAGTCAGAAAGGCTTGCCCTTGGAAAGGCTTGCGTCTCACCTTTTGCAGTGTTCCGTGCAGTGGGCCGCTTCACGGTGACGTTGTCCAAGCGGCGCTGCAATTAATGAGCTAGTTCTTCCCGTCGGACAGTAGGCACGTCTACTGGGCGGGTCGTAACAACCATCATTGATATGCCAAGTTGAATGGGGCAAAATGCGCGTAGGGGTACCAACCGGTGCAAGGAGAACATTGAGCATCAAACCAAACCAAGCATGACATGGGCATAGCCGCGTAGCTTGTAGTTTTTGCCCAAAACATGCACCCATGCTTTCCCCCAAACACGGCGCGGGCGGGACGTGCAAAAGACTTGCCTGCAAAATGCCGGCGCTCAAGAACTCTGCAGAACTGATGCCGGGTGAAGCGCAAACATATCTGAACTGTGAGAAGCAAACGCATTTTTTGGGCAAGGCTTTGGGCGCTTTGGCTTCGACGGGAAAGAATCTTTTGCGTTGCATCCAAACCTCGCGCTCACCCTATCCGCGCTTCTTGATGGCAGGCAAACTAGCCCGGTATAATGTAAGTTACGAAGATTGCAGCTTGAAGGCGAAGCCTGGCATATGCCTTGCCAACGGCTCTCTGGTTGTCCAAGCGCAAATCTTACGAATCATTGGCTGGTGGTCCTCTTGCCCCTTTTGTGGATGTTGGACCCACCGCTGCCGGCCTTGCAGCAAGTGGTCGCGAGCCGAACGTCGAGCAGAAAATGCCGAAAGCAAACCCCTGCTCCCCACGCTTCGCCAACAAAGTGATGAGCTGCTCTGTATAATTCCCAAGCTCACCGCCCGCCGACCGAAACTCGATCGAGATCACCAGTGTGATCTGTGTTTCACAACTGTGGGTGTCATGGCGCTTGCGGAGTGATGTGCGGGCAAAGTCCAAGTTGATGACCCAATTGTCCAAGGAGCCAGACTAGACAGGTGAGCGTACTTCAGGATCTTCACCGGCTTGGGATAGGCAATACCGGCTATTCCGTCCACGATGGCTCCCTGTACCTCTGCCTGGTGGACTTCTATATTCCGCCCTCAGAGCCCGGATGCTCTCACTCAACTCCCCTTGAAGGAGTGAAGTGGTCCGCTTGTCCACCTTCTGGAGGAGATCAAAGTTGTCCAGGTAGACCCGGTGAAGTTCTCGCGCAGGCGGTGAATGGGCGGTCTTTCCTGATCTCCTGACCTGGTTGTAGGTTTCCCCTTGCAGTGTTGCCTGCTCTTCGAACCATCACTCTGTGCACGTGCTGGGCTATGCTGACGCTGTTCTTGAATCCCATCGGGAGAACTTGTGATGTAAAGTAATAGGTGCCTCTCTCATCTGGGCACATCCCTGGGGGGATTGGTCTATTGAACGCAAGGAAAGCCGACCACTCCTGGGGAACCCTGAAGATGTAGACAAAGCATCTCACATTCTCTGAGGAAATCACCAGATCTTCGCTGGGCATCAGCGGAAGGGGCCATGGTGGCCCAACTTGGCAGGGTGGCCGCGTCACCCTCGATCCCTCTCACCACTTTGTTGCATGGTCGTAGAATGTCGTAGATCCATTATCAGGCGATGAATGGGCACATCTTGCTCTTCTTCACCTTTTGGAACCCCGAACAACCCGTTAAGAAGGGGACGACCATCGACGTGGAAGAGGTCCTGCTCCAACATCGGAATACACACCCCATTACCCAACAAACCTCGGCAAACACCTGGCCAAGCCTCAGGAGCTTTCATGGACTGCTGGACCTCCTCAGGCAGAACGCGCGCTCCGGAATTTTCGACATAGTGTTTACACCCAAGCTCACACACCTCTGCAAGGGGGACCGATGCGATTTCTTTCGGCGTAGCCGGAGACAGATTGTCCCTGCTGGTGTACTGCGCGCGCAACACTTCTTAACACCTGTGTAGTCAATCTAAAGAAACCATGCCAGTTTGTATCTTCAAAGCGCTCCGTCCAGGACAACGCCACCCGGGATTGTGCGATGAGAAGCTCAATCACGCCCTTCTGGTGAGCATTTGGGGGAAAGGGATTCTCCAACGACAGTCCGTACATCGAGGTCAAAACCACATTAAGACCTCGAACACTCAAACTCTCATCCAAAGTGACGCTGTAATTGTCTTGGAGGAGCTTCACACTGGTGGGCAACGGAAAGATGTCACCCGTGGGCTGGGTCGTGCACTGTGCGCGCAGTGGAAGTCCTAACTTCGTCCAAGATTCAACCAATGTGAGGGTCATCCAAGGAGCAACTCTTGAAAATTGATCACCCATGCACGGCGGCTTCGCGCAATCTTTTTCACGCCCAGACCTGGAATCAAATGTGTGGTCGTTGGCGGGTGGCGCCGGGACATCTGGACCCGTGGGTCGTCCTTCGGCAACTGTACCCAGCGTGTCATCACCTTCCTGATGCTCCAACACACTGCTGCTTGAATTAAAGGACCGGATAACCCCACATATGAATCTTTACGAGTCTTAAGTTTCTAAAGCACAAAGCAGTCAGAGTCTCAATAGCTTCTACAACACGGCCTTGTCAGGAAGTGATATCAGCTTCCGACAACAGAGGGGTGGGAGAGAAGGTGTAAGAGAGTGATGTGCACGACGGATGTACGAGGTATTGTGCACACAGGTGTGTGCAGCCACAACTAGCCAACAACACCAGTGGTTGTCGCGCGTCCGCAATATGGG